AAGAACTCCTCGATATTTATCATCATATGATTGTAAATTGGATTTTTCTAGATTTATCTCATCTTGTCCAACTATTGTTGTTTGTCTTGATAATGTTGGATTTGGTGCACTTTTATCTCTTATTATTGGCATACGTAATGGTTTATCTTTTAAATTTGTTGTTAAAGTAACTTTTGATGATGTTGATAAATTGCTCAGTGATTTTCTTGTATTATGATCTATTCGTGATGTACGATCACCATACATTGGTCTTTGTATAGTATCTGTATGATCAAAACTACGTTGTTTTATTGTTGACCTATCGTTTCTTGATTGCATATGAAGTTGTAATTTTATTTGCATAGCTTTTTGAAATAATTCTTGTGACACTAAAATGTAACAACAAAAGATATTACTGATAACTATAAAACAAAAATCAAAAGAAAACCTTTTTCTCCATGTGCATCTATCTTAACAGCCGGAATATCTGGTAATTGTCGTTTACGATTGTTTATAGTTGATGGACTACAAAAAAGAGATAGACATTGACAAAATATATGTGATTGATTATCTCTCACATGTTCGTCGTCGGTGAAAGAACACGATTGAATAATAATCCTAAATATAAATAAATATTATTTACATATTTTTAAGTATTTCATATCAACAAACCGTTTGATGTATCATTTAATGAAAACCATTCAGTTTTATTATTTAAATTTAATTTATTAAATTTAATTTCTCCTAAAATATCTTGATTATGTTCAAGATTAATTAATTTAATCCATAATATAATATTATCAATAGTCTCAATATCAAAAAATATTATATGTTGATTCCATATACATATACCAGATGAACATGGTTGAGCTTTTGTACATTTTTCTTCTTTTGATCTAAAGAAATTTGATTTAGAAAAACATACGAAAATTCTTTTTTTAGCTTTTTATTATTTTACGATATATCATTTCCATATTGCAGTGATATTTGACAAGCAAATAAACCTTGTTGAAGTGGAATATTTTTAGCACCGTATATCATAACATGCAAATGTTTTTGATCATATTGAAATGACAGCTAAAAGAACAAAATAACAAATTTGACTCCTCCTCTTCCCCCCAAAAAAATAAAGAAATCTTGTACTTGTAATTGAATACCGTTGTTCTCTATTGTTGATGATATTGTTTGATCTTCTAAAGACAGAAAAAAACGAAGTGTGTGAATGTGTTGTTTTTTTTCAAGGAATGAGATCTAATCTTTATATTTATATGTTTGATGAGCTCAACGGAAATGATACTATGATAATTATTATCATTTTTAAACATGACATTTTTTCCAAAAGAGCTATTCATGTTAGTACTTGTTGTGTTAATATCATTGAGCTCGATGTGAGTTGTAATGAAGTTCGGAAGAAAGATGAATGCCGTGTACGGAAGTCTATTTTCTTTCATTCTTCTATTCTGATGAAAGTTGAGCGATGTTATTAAGAAGAAAACAAGGGGAGGGGAGGGGGGTAAAAAGAAAAAGAGAATTACTATTCATACGATAGAAGAACACGATAGATGAAGAAAGAATGAAGTACAAATCATTCTTTAAGAAAGAGTATTTGTTCAAGCATTTCTTCACCATCGTTCTTTTTTCTCCTTGTTGTCGTTCTTGTTTCCTATACAGTTCATTATGATTTTCCTTATTCTTAACGATAAAGGAAGGAAACAAAAACGACAATGACACAAGTGTCGCACAAAATGTAACAAACAAAAAAACACAAAAAAACAACGCCACGAAATAGTTGTTTGTAATTAACGAACTTTTGTTTACCTTGAAAAATTCGTTCCTTATTGGATAATGTTGGCTGTCTAGAAAGAAGAAGATAGATTTCTAAAGATATTTATTTTGTTTTTGAATACCTAATCAATCTTTTAACAATCATATGAATTTGTTGAGATTGAATTGAATTTTGTGTTATTATTCGATTAACATCATTGGAATTAAGATTTACTAATTTTTCCCCATTCCATTCAAGTATTTGATCACCTAAAATATGTTTTTTTTTTTTTATTATTATTCTTTTGTTTTCTTTTCTTAAGTATAAATATACCGATTTGTAATTGTCCATAAGTATCAGCTATACTTCCTCGTATTACTTTTGTAATTTCAGTAATAGATTGATTCTTATGTTGAATACCAGATTGTATTTTCAAACCTAATGCATTTAAAATATCTTCTTGATGTATTTGTTTTGGTTCGTGTTCATAGGTTGAAAGATTATTTTTCAAATAAATATAACCAATTTGTTCAGTTCGAGTGTCATTAAAACACCAATATGTTATTGGCTAAAAGGAAATAAATGAACAAATAATTTTACAATAAATATTCTATTTCAAATCGTTAACACATACACAAGACGAACAAAAGCGAAAATATAAAAAACCTTTTTAAATTGATCAGACGATATAACATTGAGTATGGTACTTGAACTAGCTGTATCGATTCCTGAATCTTTTAATGTTGATTCTTGACCAGATTCTCTTTCTTCAAGCGAATGATATTGAAAATCTCGTAAAATATTCATTGAATGTTTATCTTGTTTAACTGCTGGTAATAATCGATTTTTATTATCACATGTGGACGTGGATTCAGGTGACGAAACATCATCATCATTAAACATTTTTAATTGTGGTAAAATACGTTTTTGATTAGCACCATGTTTATTCATTTGATCTTCATCAAGTGTTTGAGATAAAATATAATCTGATAAATACTGTTTACAAATATTATTTGCTGATGAAAAATACTGTTCTTGTTTTTGTCGACATTGATTACAAATATAATATTGAGATTTTAGACGAATACCACAACGTACACAAAAACGTTTTTGACATATCGAACATTGACGAGATGATTGTTGATTAGCAAATTTTGTTTTTTGGCAAATTTGACAAATTACACCTGATTCATTTGATTGGGAACAATAACGAGAAGATATAGCTACTGGTGGGGATGAATAATCGTTATCATAAGATCTAAATAAATGAAAATTCGTCTTTTCTTTTCTGTTTTTCTTGAATTAATTTTTAATTACTGAATTTTTAACGTATCAAGTTTTTCTTCAGTTTTTTGTCGATTGATGACAGCTTCGATTATTTTTTTTTCAGCATCGGTTAAATGACTTAAATCAGGTGTTATATCCATTAAAAAGATATTTTTCTCAAAGATTAAGCATCTTTTTTCATGGAGTCTAAAATCAAAGAAAAAACAGAAATTATATTTTATTTAAAAATTGTTTTTTTTTTGTAAATTATAAATACCATAACCCCTTTGAAATAATAAGGCCGCCGTTGTTGACCTCATTTTATTTTTTTTTGAATAGTCCTTTGGCATTTCAGGACATCTTATGATCTATAAAAGATAAGAAATTTGTTCAGTGTTATATTAAATCTCCAGAGATCTCCAATCAGTTTATATTTGACATTGAAAGCGCAAAGGCTTCACTAGCCATGTTCAGCATACTACTTCCTGTTCTTGTCTTTGCTTTTATGTTCACCCGCTAGTTTTTCTTGTATGCTAGCTTTATTTCTATTGGTTTAAAAATCCATTATTCTATATTATTTTCCTCCTATTTTTTTTCTCTATTATTTATGAATACAACTCTTTTTTTTTAAAATTAAATAATTGTTTCCATGAAAACTAAAATATTTAGTTCAAGGGGTTTTTTGCAAATATAATAGCAATCTGAATATGTAGAACGTGTTTTATAGAGAAATAACCAAATTTAGACTTTTTTAAGCTCAGAAAAAAATTTTATTAATAGATGAACATTAAATATAAAGTTGACTAAGATACGTGATAGTGACGTTATGAAAAATAACATTAGTTAAAATAATGAAAAGGGTCTATGAGAAAAAAGAAAAGGATGATTGTGTCTCTGCCAATAAATTTCAATAAATCACATATTATTAATCAATATACAATTAAATAAAGAAGAAAAATTCATTGAATAAAGAACATGCTTGATAAGCAATATTGATTGATTTGTTGATAAAAGTGATCGATTATAGCTTTTTCATACATTAAATAACAGCAAATGGTCAAGTCACGATTGTTTAAAAGAACAATTGTCTCAATTAAAATTATGAATTTTATTTAAAAGAAAATTTTTTTTTTTCTTCTTTATAAGTATCAAATTAAACAATAAGATTATCTATATAATTAGATTTGATATTAATCTTTTCATATGGTATCCGAATAATTTCACATGTTTTCTTATTCCTTTTTTTTTTCTTGTTAATAACATATTTCAAAAAATCCAAATGATTCATCATAATTTTATTTCTCACCAAACAATCCGATAAATCGAGACAGTGTTGAAAAAAAAAGAAAAAGAAGAAAAAAAAAAAGGTGAATGTACATGTAGGACGATATCCAATAGCCTAAATAGATGTGACACGATAATATCACCTATATATTCATTCGGCTTGTCTGTTTGTTTTCAACATACCTTCGAGCAATGGCTTTTTCGCTTTTATTCTAATGTGTACGTTAAATATATGCCTATATTCATTGACTGATGACTGTCCTCTATTCACCTATCTATTCATTATTATCTCTTCGACCGGTGAAAAAAAATCCATGCTTGAGTGCATCCAATATTAAAGCTGGTTGACTTGAGAGTGAGGGAGAGAGAGACAGAGAGAAACAATTGTTGAAACGAAAAAAAAAAGAAAAAAAAACCGAAACGAAACTACTACCTATAAATACAAGTACAAATACATTGATATACATGCATATATATTATTTCGAAAAAACAGTAAGTCTAATAAAACGAAAGCATTATTCAAAGAGATTTTGTGATGTCGATATTTAAATTCACATTCTCTTTCAATAGTGCCTTTGTCGATATATAAACTACAAACATATCTATATATCAAATAGATAAAATAAAATAAGTTAATGTAGTTTTGTTTTTCTTAGAAATTAACATTAGATATTATATCACAACGAACATAAAAGAAAGTTTAGATTTAATTGTCTTCATGAATTAAAAATCCACCAAATGTTGTATAACGCCAACCATATAATGATGTTTTAAAATTATAATCTCCATCTTCACGTGATTGAGCTCGAATATAAACTCGATCACCTTTATTTAAAAATAAAACAATTGTTGTTGATGCTGTATTCCAAACTGGTACTTTTTGATTTTTAACAGCTGTTAAAAAGCCTTCAACCCATAATGGTACAACATTTTCTGCATTTTTACATAAAGATACAGATGCCTAAAATGAAAACAAAAGAAAAAAAAAATCAAATCCGAACACAAAAAACAAACAGTAAAAAAAAAAAGAAAAACAACATACAATATGATTAGCTGGTACACAAACAGTTAAACTAAATTCGTATAAACCATTTATTGGTGCATAATAAATACCCGTATTATTATTAAGATTATTATTCTTATTTAATAATATATCATCCCAAATGACTATAGATGAATCTGTTTGTAGAAAATATGTATTATTTAATGCAACGAAAAAAGCAGATTTTATATTTGAATAACCATCACGTCCTTGAAAGAAGAAAAATTATTTTATTTGAGTAATAAGATAGTTTTACCTGGTGGTCCTGGTAAACCTGGTGGACCACTTGGACCTTGCATGCCTTGTTTGCCCGGTGGACCAGGGGGTCCTCAAAAGAAAGATTTTCCTAATTTCAATTTTTGATTCTTTTTTTTTTTTTTGAAAATACGTACCAGCTGGTCCTTGAATATCAAGTGTAACTCGATTTCTTGCATCTAAAAAAACATCATATTAAAATAATTGAATAAAAATTCTGTTTCTTTTTTCTTTTCTTACTTGGACAATTAATATGTAATTTACATTGATTAGCCGATGGTCTTGTTGGATTATTTCCATATGATGATGCAATTGAAGAATATGATTGTTGAGAATTTGGATACATATTGCTATCTGGATTTCGTTTATTTAAATAAGGTGAAGGTGTTTGTACTTGTTTTTCTTGAGATTGTGCTTGTCGATATCCATAATAATCATATGATGGTCGTGATGGATATATATAAGAATTAGAATCAATGGGTGGTACAGCTGGATCTGCTATAATCACCGATAAAATAAAAAATTCGAAGAATAAAACGTAATGAAACATTGTTAACACTGAAATATAAAAGAAGACAAATAACCACAACAACACAAAGATTGACAAATTTATAAGTTATGCTACTATGAATAGTAAGTGTAGCACAACAGGTGGTCGATGAATGTGTACGTTTATAAAACAAAAGATGAAATCAAATGATGTAAAAAAAAAGAAATTACATGGAATGATCGTTTAGGTTAAAGGATATGTTGAAATTCTTTTTTTTTTCGTTCTGTCGTATTATAAACAGTTCGAGTTTGTATATATGTGTACTATAAATTCGTGTGTGCGTGTATATATATATATATATTCATTTGTCACAATTGCTAATTTATATTGACATACAAACACATTTGCTTACTCTGTAAAATAACTTTGGCAAATATAAGAAGTCTACTTTATTTCCTGTCTATAAATAGTTAGTTTAATTTCGAGAAAATGTTTACAAAGGAAAAGGAAAAAGAAAATCGAACTATAGTCATACGCATAAACACTAAACCTACTTGATCAATCATTGAACAAAATAAGAGACCATAATAACTTTAAATATTATTTTTCGTATAGGCGTTAATATACTAAAGGGAACGATTGAATCGGAATGTGGAGAAAAAAAAAGAAAGAAACCTGAAAAAAAAAAAAGAAAAATCATTGTTTAGATCTCAAGAAGAAAAAAGGTGTTTAAGATCGATCTTTTCCTCTCCTCTTCTATTTCTAAGTCCATTATCGTTGAATAGACAATACAAAGGTTGATGGAAAAAAATAGAAATAGAATAAGTGTAAATAATACACCTTTATTCTCATCATGTCGACTTCCGATTTCTAAAAATCTATTCTTTATATGCGTGCTTTTCTCGCGTAAATTGCTAATAAGTCTATTAACGAGATTTGATATGAAGGAAAAAAAAGAAAAGAAATCGAAGGTCAACTCTACATCAATAGATTACCAACCTAAATTTCTCTTGTAGAGTAGGATCGGTTTTTTTTCTGTTTTTTTTTTATTTTGACAAGAATATATAAACGTACTAAATAACGAGTAATCGCATGTACACTTCAATACCATTAAAGTTAACAGTGATTTCTCGTTCACTTATAGGCATTCATACTTGTTAATTAAACTGTATCGAACGATAAAGCATCCGAAAAAATGCCATCTTAATGATCAGAGGATCTCTTTTAAATGCTACATGTGTTCTCTCATCATAAATTCCTCTCGGCAACAAAAAAAAAAGAAGACAGAAGAACGGAAAAAAATAATTTTTCCTATTGTATTCATTAATCTATTCAAGGATAAAAGCATCTGTTTTTTCTTCGAATATATTTCAGTGTATAAGAAAAAAAAAAGGTTCCATCGAATAGTTATGGAAAAATCATGATTAGGAAAACGTCCATTCGTTTTTTCATTATATATGAATAATTCATTAAAAACAAAAAAAAAGAAACTATTTTGTTCTATGAACCGAATAATTATTATAGAATGTTTATTGAGTTTGAAGAGGACTTTTTCTTCGTTTTTAACTAAAGCATGGTTCAATACATTCTCGCATGAGTTCTTCAAGATAATATTGATCGATATCATCGAAATGAGCTTCGTATTCACTATCAATATCCAATACTCCTAATACTTGTGCTTGTTCCTCATTTGATGATACTCGAATAATAGGCACGACAATTTCAGATAATGAAGCCGATGAACAAGCTACAAGATAAAAACAAAATGAAAATTCTAGAATATACAAAATATTTATTTCATACCAATATGACCAGGAAATTGATGAACATTTTTTACAACAATTGTTTTACGTTGTCCCCAACTTGTACCACAAACACCTTTATTTAATTGAATTCTTGTACAAGCTAATGGACCCTTGGAAAAAAAATGAATGAATTATTAACAAAAAAGAACGAAAAAGTGTTTTTTTTTAACAAACTTACTTGAAATGGACCAAGTACCAATTGATTATTTTTAACTAAATAAAAGCCAACCCACCAAAATGAAAATATTTCTTTAAGAACTGCAGTAATATTAGCAAGATTTGCAATTAAATCTTTTTCATGTTGAATTAAATTTTTTATTTCAATTATTATTTGTTTATATTTTTCTTCTTTTGAGGCATTTTTATCAATATGGTTTAGACTTTCTGGCATGTTTTATTATCTAATATGACCTTTCATATACACATACACACAATTTTATCTGTTCTTTTGTAAGTAAAAGAGAAGAAGAAAAAGAAAAAAAAGAAAGGTTTTTATTCATTGGATGAATTTCTAGAAAAGGATTTTATTTGTAAGTCTAAATCTAAATTTAACATTGTTCTAATTTTTCTATATGAATCTGGGATTGAACATGCAGTCAATGGTCGTTGATATTGTATAACATTCTTATTTGAAGTAGTTTTTTTCAAATTATTATTTATTGATGTTGGTGCTATAAGTAAAGGTTTAGATGTTTGATTAATCACTACAGTCGCTGTTGGTGGTACTTTCATATTTTTTGTTAGTATCATACTGTGTGAAGTAATGAATTTTGTTTCATTTTTATTTGATATTGATAGTAAGGAATCGTTTGCAGATTTTTCAATATGTTTAAGATTATTTATTTGTTTCTCGTTGTTTTCATTATTGAGAATATTTGAAGTTGTTTTTTGTGTTGTTAAACGATTTGATATACTTTTTCCAATAATATATGATGGTAAATCAATAAATCTATTAGAACGATGTCGTCGAAAGTTATAATTATTAAAATGGATACGTCGTTTTAATATTATTGATGGTAAAGATAATGATCGTTTTGTACGGTGAATATTAAATTCATCTAATAGAAAATCATTTTGATTCGAATATTGAATATAGTCTAAACTTGAATGACGTCGAATATGTGATAAAGATGTTATTATTATTGGTGCAAGAATTGGAATGAATGATGAATATTCTATTTGATACTATAAAGTAGAGAGAAAAAAGAAGCGGTTCAATTTAGAAAATTATTATTATCGTCTGAACGACATTTTTTTTTTCTTTCATCGGTTAAGATTCAAGTAGTTCTTTTTAAGTATTATTTGATATGTATATTTCAAGAATAAAGGTAAAATGATTCCAATGAATACCATTGTACTCAGCTTTTTAGCTTATAATAGCTCATAGAAATACTTGAAACTCTATTGTGACTCGATTGAATATACTCATCGAAGATTTTCTTTAACATAAAGCTGTTTGTGAAGACTTTTCTTTTCGTCAAGATCGATTTATCTATTTCGATTAGATTTGATTAAGAAAAAAATTCTCAACCGACTATTCGTTTTCATTAAATCATATACATATAAAAATAAAGAACTCTTTCTAACAAAATATAGTGCTGATTACACATAAAAATGATAAACGATGTGGAAGAAAGAATTTGTTTATCAATAAGCAGAATAGGAGGTAAATAGGATAAAGCATTTTTTTTTTAAGAGACACAAGAAGCGTAACAATGCAGGAAAGGGAAAATAAGTGTCAAGAGGTTATGCGTTGATGATGCTGGTGAGGAGCATCACGAATAATGACGTTGCCGGAAGTAGGGTCACGCAAACGCACCACTGGTTTCATATGATGAGGTTTTTCAATTTTGTCAGCATATTCACGAGCCTAGAATAAATGAAAGAATTACCCTAAGATAAAAAAAAAGAAACATTCATTAAATCGAATAAAATCGATATAAAGAAATCAAATATAAATAAAATAAAGACAATAAATATATAAATAATTACTATAGCAAGTAGTTAAGCAAGCAAGGGAGTAAATATCTGAATGAAAAATACTATAAGCGAGATATATCGATTGAAATATATATATATATAAATTAAGCAGATGAATAATGAAATACTCTATTCAATGAACATTTGCAATGGTTATCGTGTTCATGTTTGATCATTCGTTGAAATTCTCTCACTTTTTGTATCGATAAAACGTGAGGTCTAGTTGCAGGAAACTGCAAATATGTATGATTGTATATAGTACAAACAATAAATTAGTTGAAAATAAAAATATATTAAATAATTCATTCTATTAAATAAACATAATATAAAAATAAGTTTTCATACCCGTTGATATTTAGGTACGGGTGCAGGACGATTTTTTTTATGTTCATTATGATGTGTACGTTTTTGTTCTTCAATTTTATATTGATTTGTATCATGTACAACTTTTGAATAATATTTTCTTCGATTTTCCGTATCAATCTAACATAAAATAAAAATAGTTAATCAAAAAACATAGAAAAGAAAATCTTGTTTTTTAAGTATACTTTATCTACGTATGTTTGATAATCTGTACTTCCAAAAGCAGGACCAAAACCACCATTTCGTGCAAAAGTTCTATATTCACTTACTACTGATTTACGACCTAATTTTTCATCTTGTAAACGACGTTGATGATGTTTATATGCATTTGCATAACTACCTAAATTAAACAATAATTAAAAGGTTTCTTTAATAATCAAAATCATATTTGTTTTTTTTTCTTCTTACTAACCAGGATCAGGTGCAGCCAATCCATAAAGATATTCATGAATTTTAAAATTATTGCCATCATTACCATGTTTACTTTCATCTAAATGATCATGATGTTGACTTGATATAGGTGTTTTAGATTTTTGTTGAGATCTATGTGGTTCAGGTGTATGAGTATAATGTGAATATGAAGGTGCGTAATTAGAATTTCGACTATTTATTTCCGAGAAATTTTCATTGATAACTGTTGATGGTGTTTGACGATTAAGATCAATTATTTGTACACGTCGTTTTTGATTTACTGGTGGATGATTATTTTGTGTATTTGTTGCATATGTTAATCCACGATTAACCATTTGAGTTTTTGATGGACCATAATTAGTATTATCATTATAAAATTCATGTTCAGTATTTGGATGTAGGCTAATTGTTAAATTAAGACCATCTTCTGGATTATTATGATTACCATAGAGATTATTTGTTTGTTGATAATAAGGAGGACCAGATTGATCTCCAAGTGTTTGATAATTTTTTTGTTGATGTTGAGGAATAACAACTGGTCCTACTCGTGGATAATTTGTTGATAGAGGATAATTACGACGAACATTTGTTGAAGGAACATATGCAGGAATATATCGTGAATTGTACATTGTATTATTCCATAATGTCTAAATAAATGAAAAAGAGAACATATATATATATACAAAGAGAAAATAGAAGGGCATGAGTTAAAAGCACTTGTATTTTTTAAGTTTTCTTGTCGATGATAATAGCTAGCAAGAGTTTATATAGCTGAAAGGATTCTCTTTTAGGGTTACTAGCTTTTATCCAAAGCTTTTTAAAACAAATTTTTATTTGATAAAGAAAAATGAGACGTCTCCAACGTCTCTATGACCTTCTTTTATCGAATTGCATTAAATTTATCGAAATCCAAAGAAGAAGAAGAAGAAGCATTTTTCTCTTTTTTATTGAAAACTTCAAAATTTTTTTACATATTTGACATTTACAAGCCTCATCTAAATTGAATGCAATTCAATAAAGAAAATGTTATGGAGAGCACAGAGACGTCTCATCTTGCTCTATCAAATGAAGTCTATTTTTAAAAATTCTAAAAGAAAGTCAGAAAGCTGATTTTATCGATCTTGACTTTTCGTAGAGTCTTCTAACCTATTAATTCTAATAAAGAATCCGTTCAACTACATAAATCATTTTTCAGATTCTTGCTAGCTACTGTTATCGAAAAGAAAACTTAAAAAACAATTGCTCGAAATTGATGTCCGCTATTATATATGTTAGCTTCACAACGGAGAATGTGTCTAATATCAGTTTAAAGGAGAAATCAATGTGAAAACTCGATCTACTTTGTAGATTGACATTGTATTCGGAAGTATATTGAAAAAATTGATAGAAAACAATAACATTTCAATAAATATATTATCAACAGATAAATTAAGTAACAATTCAAAAATTTAGGGACAATTTTCTATTGAAGCAATTTTTGTGTCTAAAATTGCCTGGAACTGCACGACTTTAAAATTCAATTAATCCATTTAAAAACGTACCATTTTTAGCAATTGAAAGAAGAGAACTCCGAAAGTTTGTTTTTATGTGTTACTATGTGAGACGGAATTATTTTAAAATTCATCATACTCTCAAAACATTCAATGATGGTCCATGTCAAGAAAGTTTTGATAAAAAGTCAGATAATTTGCTAAAAAATCAAAAAAAGAATTCTATATTATTTGATCAAATTTTGTTTGTTCAACATTTAGATACAAGAAAATCATGACTCGAACTGTGCATTGAACTATAGATCTGAAGTACATGTTCATATCAACATAACATCGAAAATAAACACTATTTTCATGCATGGTTTTATGAATGTTTTGTCTATCAATAACTGAATATCACAGGTCGTTAACTGTTGCCATTGTTAAGTTATTTTAAGGATACATTTACGTTTTTTTTAAATTCTAACGCAAACATAAGTTCGAGTTTTAACATCAATATCTCTCGTAGTCCAAGATTGGACATAATCTTAAATTGAACGCTAGCATATATGTATTTATTTACATGTATTAATATAAATAACATAATTAAAGTAAATGTTTGTTTTTTATTTTTGTTTTGTTTACTTACCCAATCTGGACCTGATGTTGGTACATTAGATGGAAGTGAATTACCATAAGTATGAGGATATATCGATGAAGTTGATACCGATGGTAATTTCCATGTTGGGGTTAAAAAAGAATATTCTGCTTCAAGTGTATTCATATCTTTGCAATACTATTGCTACAACATACATACAAAACAAGACACTCTATGCGTATGTATGTGCACCTGTTTAATGTAACGCTTCAAATGTGTGATGGATTATGTTTACTTTAAAGGAAAGGAAGCCTTCTATACAGAACGTTTCTACACTGTCCAATAGTTCTCATCTCTAATTTGATGAAATTGTTGACATTGAATTTGAAAAAAAAAAAAAAGAATATTGTATGAAAATATCATGAAACTACGAATAAAAAATTTTCGATTGTTCATATTAGGAAAAGCAAGTATCTCAAGTTATGCTTCACTTTTAACTCAATTTATTAATTAAGAGCATACTACTATTGAATGACATCACTAGTTAAAAATTTTGAAAACAAGAAAAATAACAAAAGAGAACTAAGCGAGAAACAAAAGTACACGTCAAGAAATCAAACAGAACGATTGCGAACATCGACTAACTTTAAATTATGTTGATGTAAAAATGTATCATAGCGACGTAAAAGAAGAAAATTTTTCTTTCTCTTTTTTTTCTCTCTTCTCTTATTGAATGAAAACATCAAGTTTTTGTGTATTGTTTATTCACATTTTCTTTTTCAATTAATACGACAACAAAGAATTTTTGTTTGAAATTATCGAAATGTATATATTGAGAATAGTGAAAAGATTATTTTTATTTTGTCTGTAAGCATTTTCTTGTTTTCAATTAACATAACAAATGAAATCCATAATTTGTGTCTTATATTAAAACAAGAAAAGACAAGAAAAAAAAAAATTCAATACAAGAAATATATATATATATATTTGGTCGTTATATGTATTCCTATCGTTTTTTATATCGTGCACCTTCAAATGATTCAAGGGTTTTTTCTTCACGTACAGTAAATAAATCATCATCAATATCACGATTTTTTGTACGCATAGTTCGTTGACCATGATTATGAAATTTATTGTCATTTTCATCTTCATTATTTGTTGTTCGTCCATTGGAATCAAGTTTTGCATAACGTACATTTTTTTTCTTTGATTGTTGTTTATATTTATGATTTATATCATGATTTGATATATCATCATCATCATCATTTTCTGATTGACGATTGATATTTGATCGATCAGTACGCATTGTTGTACGACTTATTTGATTTGGTATTGATCGATTACCACCACGATTACTTGTTTGTTTTGGATATGTTTTATTTGCTGTTGATCCTGAGCCAGGTCGTTTTGATGTACGACTAACAGATTTTGAATCACTATTATTCATTCGTTGACGTGGTGTTTCATTACCGGATTCATATTCCTATTTATATAGAAATAGAGAATTATCAAGATGAATATTGAAAATAACCTGACTATCATCTGTCAGCGGAGCAGAATGACGATGTGATCGACTTGTTTCAGTATCGTAACTCATAGCAAAATTTCGATAACGAACTCGTTCACCATATGTTTTTGATTGATTATAAAGTTCTTTCTATAAAAAAAAAAAGAGAATGTTATTCTATATATATATATTTCTTTCAAAATTAATTAATAAACTTTTTCTTCTCTTGAAAGTGAATAAAGATTTCCTTTTTTAAGATCCATGAAATCGGACCATGGAGATGGTTTAACAGCAGTTTGAAGTAATGCATCTTTTGTTGAATGTCGAACATAATCACCATAATGTAAACGTTTTGCGGTATTGTCATTCTAAAAATAAAAATATTTTTTATGAAAAAAATAAAGGCTCATTTATTTTACAATTGCTTTTTGTTGTTGTTGTTCAGCACGATCTGCACGTAACTTTTGAAGAGCTTCACGAAAACGTTCATCAGTATCTTTATGAACATAGTCACGATGAGTAAATTCATTGTATAAATAATATGGATATAGATTATCATAATGATACTAAAAAGCTAATAAAAAAATTTAATATATGAAAATAATTTTACTTGTTTTGGCCATTGTTTTCTCCATGATGTTGTTGTAATTGCTGGTTGTGAACGTTTAGTTGTTGGTGGCTCATATCGTGTTGTTTTTCGTTGTGAAACATGTTTTGTATTCAGATTATCTTGAATTTAAAAACAAAATAATTTCCATAATAATTTAATTATCAAAAAAAAAAAACAAAAATTTACTTAATGAACTTGTTAATTTATTTTTTGTTGATTTTGGTTGATGAAACGATGAACTTATAGAATAATTATTTGTTGAAGGTTTACGAAAAAAATCTCCTTCAAAAAGTGTATCAAAATATGAATCATGTGGAGCTTCATATGTTGGTTCACGAGATTTTGTATTAGTTACTGGTTTTATTTTACTAGCAAATGGTTTATTATCAACTTTTTTTGGTGCATGAGGTAATGCACGTGATGATTTTGTTTTTTCTTTTTCATTTTGAGCTTGAATCATATGTAATTGACCAATTTTAACTGACCATACTTGTTCAGCTTGTTTTTCATCAATAGGTGATCCTTTTTTTGTGTCATTTATCCATGCTTGAACATCAATTGATGGTGCTCTTTTTTCTATTTCAGCCATAGTTGCATTTCGTTGAAGATGATTATGATGTTTTGTCAATCCTAATGGTGGTTGTGGTGATTGAACTGGTGTTACGTCATCGTTTAATTTATCAATTGAAGAATCTTTATGTGCATCTATTGAAGGTTGTGTTCGTACTGTTGTTGTTTGTGTTTGATTTTTAAATGTTGACTTTTTGCTTATTTCATTTGATTGTCCTTTCGTTTTTGTTTGTTGTGAACTCCAAATAGATTTAGGTTGTCGATTACTATCAACATTATTTAGCATTTTATTATAATTTGGTTGATGATGAGAAAACATATTCATTGAACCATTCACATTATTATCATTGATTGAATGAGCTACACTTGATGCTGTATTTGTATTTGATGCTGTTACAAGACTTTCGGAATATTCAGTTATATCATTCAATGAAGCAAATGAATCATTGGGTGGAACAGGTCTACGAAAATTTTGTGTTGTTGAATTTTGATAGTTTGTTGTAGGAAAAACAGATGTAGAATTCGAAATTGAATATAACGGTGGATGATATGTTGGTATATCATGAGTTATTTGATTAAATGCTAAATCATCACTCAATAATCGATCTGTACTTCCATAAAGTACTGATGGTTGATAAAGATTATCAAAAGATGAACGTCTAACAAGATTATCACTAAGTAATGTTGACGTACCATATGATGATGGATATGCAGCTAGCAGGCTTGTTGCATAGCTCATGATGTTTCGTTTTTTAGTTTCTCTTTTTTTTCAGTGTCGATTAATAAAACAAACAGTGTTGTGCAGAACTTTTTCTTCGCTCGCACTTTGTGTACATGTGTTTGTATTATTCTCAAAAAAAAAAAAATACAAATCCTTTTAACGTGAGATGTATGTGCACCTTTGTCGATTGAATCAAGTTAATTTAAACGAAATAGATGGAAACATGAAAGCTAAATATTATTGTGTTATATAGAAAACGTCTATTATTTTTTTGATTCACTGTTACGATTTATGATTTAAAGAAGAAGAAAAAAAAAACAAATTAAAAAGTTCCTTGTTCTGTCCTTCGAATAGAAAAGGACGAAGATGTATTGTTTTGATCCTGTCCGATCGAATGCGTCGTCTTTTGTTCAATATTGATGATCAAATTACACACTCAGTCAATGACTATTTGCTGTGTCCGCCTTATTTCCAAGGTCTTAATGTGTAAATTTAATAGTTAAGATGACTACTTTTGTTTTGTACAAATGACGAGACAGACAACGTGATCAAATGACCTCAACTGCTACGTCATCAAATCTATGTGAAGAAGCATCGAAATATGAGACGTAAAAAACAAAAAAAAAAAAGAATAGTCAATTATTTGAAAATGTCTGATTGTCACCGATCATTTCGATTGCATTCGTCATTTATTATACAGGGACAAACGTTGAAATTAACATGATCGTGTTTGGTCTTTATTTTATCATTGCAATACATCTTGCTTATGGTCAAGGTAATAAAATAATAATTAGTTATATTTTGAAAATCAATAGTTATCTAATAGATATTTGTAATACTATTAATTGTGGTACGGGTATTTGTATGCCAACACATAATCCTTCATTACCTTATTATTGTCGATGTCCTAGTGGTATAAATACAATCTTACCATGTCCATCTGAAAGTTTGTTTAAAAAGTTTTCAAGAAATAATATTTATATGAAAACAAGTCTTTTCTTAATAGATCCATGTTCAAGAAATCCTTGTGGATTAGGTTTATGTGAAGTAGTACCAAGTTTAGCTCATGGATATCTTTGTCGATGTCCGGGTGATATTATTTCATTAACAAATTGTAATGGTAAATAATTGTGTTGTTTGATAGGAATTATTTCTCCTAGAATAAATAATATGCTTTTTTTTCTTTTCTTTATAAATATATAGTGACACGTACTGGTTGTTATTCAAATCCTTGTGTCAATGGTTTATGTATTGAAGGTTTAGCAAGTTATTATTGTAATTGTTTACCAACATGGACTGGAAAGTTATGCGATGGTATTTAAATAAAAACTAAGAATTTTTTTTTAAACTGTTTTGTATACTATTTTGTAGAAAAAATTGTTTCACCTTGTTCAAAAAGTCCATGTAATCCAGGCAAATGTTTTCAACTTGATGATCGAACTATACCATTTGTTTGTTTATGTCCAAATGGACAATTTGGATTATCTTGTTATAGTAAATGTGATTGTTTCTTATTTCATTAAATTACTAATGTCTTTTAAATTAAAGCTTTTGGATATCCATCTTCTACTGCTCGAATATTGGCAACTACCACAAGTACGACTGTTCGTTCACTATATACGTGTAATCCATCCGAGCCTCAAGCTTGTATGAATGGTGGACAATGTTTACAAATAACACATGGTTATCGATGTTTTTGTAATCCAGGTTTCACTGGTACTTTTTGTGAAACGAGTAAGTTATAAGCAAAATTAAATTGTGTTTTTATTTCTATTTTACTAATTTAAGATATTAATGAATGTGCATCAAATCCTTGTAAGTCATTTTAAAATAAAACTAATTTATTTAGCAAGCATTTTATTTTTTTCTACTAAGGTCAATATGGTGGAATTTGTTATGATCTTGAAGCATCGTATATTTGTTATTGTTCAGATGGATTTTTTCGTTCACAATGTATACCTAGATCAAGTAAATCAGTTTTATACTCAATATTAATTGAACTAGTATATTTTAGCATGTTTTTCTATTGAGAAATGTCTATTTAAAAGATGTGCCAAAAAAAAAGTTTTTGATGCATTGTCAGAAGATAAGATTTTCAAATCTCCATAATATTCATAATCGATTCCTATGATAGAAAATTTTTTCACTTCTTTTCAGCTTCAACAAGTACTGCTCGTTCAATATTATGCCCATGTCAAAATGGCGGTATATGTACAGTGTTCGGTTCTGAAACATGTGTATGTCCTAATGGTTTTACTGGTCATTTTTGTGAACATTTATTACGTAAGTTTTATTATTTGATTTTTTTTTCCTATAAAAAAGAAAACTTATAAAAATAAGTCTATAATAATCTAATTTATTGAAATAAAAATATTTGTAGAACCTATAAAAATTTTCTTGTTTGTTTTGATTATTTTAGCGACTAGTAGTTGTAGTCGAATAAAATGTTTAAATGGTGGTACGTGTCATGATAATGCATCAGAATCATCTGTCTTATCTTATTGTGTATGTAAAAGTGGATATACAGGAAAATTTTGTGAAACTGGTTTGTAGATTTTTTTTATGAAAATAAAAAACAATTGTCGTTGGTTTTGTTCTTTTTGTTCTTTAAAGAATATTTTCGATGTCGATCAAATGGTCGTTTTGATGATTTGTATAATTGTATAGAAGGAAAATATTTTGAATGTATTCATTTTCAACAGGGTTTGCTTTTTCCATGAGTTTTAATTCGATTTTCTTTTTATTTACAATTTAGGTGTTGGTGCAAATCCATATGGAATGTTATTAAGTCGAAATTGTCCATCAACACTTCGATTTAATAGTCAAGCTGATCGATGTGATTATCCGCAAAATGTTCAATGTCTTTATCCTCAAAAATAAATAATCATGATGACTTTGTTTCTTTTTTTTTTAAGTTGCAATAGTTATTGTTGTTGTCGTTGTTCTTTTTTGCTCGAAAAGATTTTTTTTTTTTTGTGTGAACTTTTTTTTCTTTTTGTGAATATATACTTTAACGAATAGTTGAAAGCAATATCAGATAATTAAAATCGAATTTTTCGGTTGAAGTTGCTAGTGTAGAAGTGTTCAATGATTTGTCAATGTTGTGTAAGAATTTGAGTACTAATAGACTTAAAAAAAAACTTTATGAAATGAATTTTTCTTTCCAATAAACAGAAAACTTCAAGAGACAAATAAACTCATTTTACAAATGTAAATAAATATTTATACACGAGATAATTAGTTTATTCTGTTAAAAATTACAAATTTTTTGTAAACATTATTATAATTTTACTATAGTTTTGACAGTTCGTAAAGTCAATTATGAATACTGAAAACTTATTAGATGTAAAAACCATCGTTGTAGTACCATTGTCTATAATCGATATTTTATTCGATAAAATACCAAGTATTACATAAGGTATCAAACTATCAGGCAACCACTTGCAGCATTCATATATTCAATATTCATTCATATATAATCATCCATTATCGCCTAGATATTATCTTCATTATTTATCATGTGTATTATATTGTAATTGTGGTCCAACTAAATCACTTATTGTATCATTGAAAAACAATTGGCTAGTATAAATATTTAAATATATTGATATTGTATGTTCCTCTAAAACGAACTTTAAAATGTATATGACTAGCTCGACAAAGAAACCATCCTGAATAAGTTAGATTAAAGTTTGCTACGCCATTTGTATTTGTTAATTGAATACCTATTTATACGAATGAATGAAAATTTTTATCTACCTCGAAGAATTGTTTCATTACTTGTTTTTGAATTTTGAACACTTTAACTAGCTTGTCTGTAATGAGAATAGATAACAAAAGCTTCACAATTTCATTAGAGTAGTAGCTGCATTACAAATTGATAAACCTATGTTAATAACCATAACAACAACTTGGAAATAAAAGCCAGCTCTAACACGAGCTCCTCTAATAAAGATATTAATATAATGACATTTGAGTCAGGTGGATGAACTTCAGAGAGATTTTTGTCTCATGAGTGATGTATCTCAATAGTATAGACTTAATACAATACATATCGATGATCGAGTTATTAGACTGATGCAATAACAGTGAGCAGAAAAATAGAAAAGGTATGTTTCATCAGTATTCTATTTAATAGATTGTCAATGTTTCGATGAATTGATGAAGAACTCGAATGAAAATATTATTGATGCAAGTCACATATGTTTAACTAACGAATAAATGTAACTTATTGCACTAAACATTGCTATTTATTTATATATTTACTTTCAAAAACTGATCATATAGACTTAATTTCAATCTTATTCTGGTATGGTAACTAGTGTAAATAATCTAAATAGTGATTTTGATAAAGACATTAATGTTTTCATAGATATTTGACAGAAATAAAAGCCTCACCATATTTCTAAAGTCTACTTCTTGCCTAGTTGAAACGTCCAATAAAAATTTTCTTTTGATTAGAGAGGATGATGGAGCAACTAATTTTCTAGAAAATGAAATATCTCCGATTATTCTATGACATTTTTCTAATTGAACAACATCAATTTTAACAAAAGCAAAAAAGTGTTTTTTTTTTCCGCCATTTCCCACAGGACGAAAGAAACTTTTACGCTTTTCTTAAAATTGATGCCGTTCAGTAAAACAATGCCGTAGATAGTTCGAATACATTTCATTTTCTAGACAATCAGTTATTCTATCATTCTATGTAAGTACAAAGAAATTTTTATTTTGAGGTTCAAAGCACTAGATAACAATATATTGGAAATATTACGAAGATTGTATTTCTTGCAAATCTCGCTTGGAAACAAATTTCTCTATCTAAATGATTATTTAGATTCTTTATGACAACTATTACTAAGGACAAAACTTGACATAAAATTTTTATGATTATTTTTGGGGGCCACTGCATAGTTAATGACTCTTTGATAAAATATCTAACTTGACAACTATAAATATTCTTTGAAGAGTCGGGTAAGATGACTGCATGTCAAGAGCTTTTTAAAAATATATGACAATATGAAAGAAGAAAAAAAAAAGTACATGACTTTTTTTTTTTGTATCCGTCGACATATACGAAGAAAATGATTAAATAAAACGAATATTTCTGTGTTTTTTTTTTCAGTCTTATGATGCTATGAGAAAATGATCTAATTTAAAGCAATCAGGGATTCATATGCATATAAAAATGAGATTTCTTTTGTTTTTATTATTTAATGAATCTATATAGTCTCTATGGATCTTTATAATTCAATGCACAGTTCTTATAGAAAAGTAAAAGATAGAATGTATATTAAATTCAAAAAAACTTCTTAATCTTTTGCATAATTACCAATAAGTTATATCATTAAGATTCAGAATATAGTTTTCTTTATTAATTACATATTCATTTTTAATTACATTTTGCCTTGTATTCATTCTATTGTTTAAAAATATTTAAATTATGCAAATATCATGTTTTAATATTTATTTCATTTTATTTTCGTTGCATATTTTTTTTTATTTATTTTACATGCAACTCATCAGTTATTTGAGATACTTCAAAATATATTTGATGAATATTGACATTTTGTGAATTAGTCAGGCAATTCATTATGAAAGACAAATATTAACAATCATTTCGTGTTCAAGTTGAGAATCTTGGTTATAGAAATCATTGATTTGTTATTATATTTCTAAGAGTTTCAAGTATAGTGTCGATCTAACAGTTCAATGGATTGTTATAAAAGAAGAGAAAAAAAAAGAAAAACAATGTTTTATTGTCATTCAGAGAAGATTGTCGAGAGTAGAACGAAAAGAAAAAAAAAAGCGGAGTTAGAAGAAAAAACTAGATATAGTTAGATGGAAAACTCATTTATGTCGACGAGAAAAAAAAAGAAAACGTGTTTTAGATTATATAGAGTTCTATCATGTTCACAAATGTGAATAGTACGGAGATGGATAGTCTTGCACAAATGTCGATGATGAATGAGGATCAAGGAACTTTACTTAATAAAGAACAAACAATTCAAGATGATTATATTTTAACATATAGGTTTGTAATAAAATAAGCTTCTTGTTCTTTTTGAATAATAAATTGAGAATTCGTTTTGTATTTAGACATCAACAACATGTCAAACGTTCTATACGTTTATTTTTATGTTGTATATTCTTATTTTCACTTTTATTAGCAACATTAATTGTTTTATTAAGTTCAATTATATTTCATCCTAATAAAGATAATCAATATGATGAAAATGTTCAAATTGAACTTGTATGGGCAAGTGGTTTTCCAAAATTAATAACAGAAACAGCTTTTCGTCTTATTGATTGTAATTCTGATGGCATACTTGATGTTATTTTTGGTTATGGTACTGGCGTTGATACATTAGCAGATAATGAATTGTTATGTGATCTTTATTTTAATGGAACTCATCCATGTAATGGAGGTGTTAAAGTAAGGAAAATTAATTCTTTTTTGTTTATTTAGAAATTTATTTTTTTCTTTCTTTAGGCTTTAGATGGTCGAAATGGGCTACTTCTTTGGAGTTATGACAAATCAAATCATGAAGTATTTGCATTAAATTGTCAACGAGATATCGATGGAGATCATATTCCTGATTGCCTTACTGGTGGACGAGGAGGTGTAAGTTTTAATTTTGAATGTTTTGTTTTTTCTTTCTTTTTACTTTCAAATTTATTATTTATTAGACATTTGAAGCTATTAGTGGAAAAACTGGTTCATTAATATGGACGTTTGATAATGATGTACGACACACAACAATGAATTTTTATACACCATTATATTTAAAAAAAGATTTTGATAATGATGGTTTAAATGATATTATAACAATACATGGTGGTGATCCAATAAGAAAACCACGTATGTCAAAATGAAAAGTTTGTCTTTTTTTTTTTTCTTTGTTTATTATAAATTTTCTTTTAGATGATACAGTTCGATTAGCAGGTGAAGTTCTTCTTATTAGTGCAAAAACTGGAAAATTATTAAATGTATCTATTGTTCCTGATCAAATGGAATCATATTATTCTCCACAATTATTACAAAGATCATCAACTGAAGAATATATTCTTATTGGTACTGGTGGTGAAACACATGGTGGTGGACTTTATGCATTTGATTTAAAATGTTTTACAATTTATTGTTCATCACCAGTAATAACAATAAAAATCAATTTAAAGCAAAATCTATTTTCTATTTTTTGTAGTATATAAAAATAATAAGTGATGAATATAAAGGTGTTATGACACCACCAGTTTTAATTGATGTTAATAGTGATGATATTGAAGATATTATTATTCCACTTTATAATTCAACATTGTATGCTTTTGATGGTCGAACATTTCAACAATTATGGAATAGAACTTTTCCTAGTTCAGAAACATATAGGTTTACTAGATTATTTTGGTTTTTTTTGTTGTTTGAAAAATTCTAGTTAATTATTGATAATTTAGTTCACCTGCAGTTGGATATTTTAATGATGATGATATACCTGATATTATGATTCATTATCAAACAGGACCAGGTTATCCATTATATTATAGTGCTCAGGTATAAAAATAATTCATTTTGAATTTGTTTTAATAATTGATGTTCATTTATGAATAGACAACTATTCTTGATGGTCGTACGGGTAAACCAATACTTGATAAATCTATTGAACAAACAGTTGGTGTACAAAGTTCTCCATTAACTAGTTGAGTATTTAAATATTAAATTTTGATAAATAAGTTTTTTTTTTTCTTACTATAGTTAGTTTTAAACAACATGGACATGATATGTTTATTTATTGGATGGGAGAATGTGATGCAGTGAAGAGTAATATAGAAAGAAAAATTGATTATGATAAAAGTATTGTTTCGTTTTTTTCCGCTCTTATTTTTTTATCGGATAATTAATATGATTCATCTTCATTAGATGCTCCTAGTGCGCTACTTTCACATGCTGACATTTGTAAATTGCGATATCAAACACCAAGTTTTACGGCACTTCATGGTCTAACACAATCTATGAAACCACCTGGTGTTCTCATTTATAGTTCAAGTAATTTAAGAAAAATGAATAAGAAAGAAAGAAAGAAAAAACTCGATTTTCTTCTTTTTTTTCTCTTTCTTCAAGATAATTATGCTGCTCTTGAACGAAGTACAACAAAACCAAATTCAATTGATATACCAAAATTTCTTCTACAATATCCTAATTATGTATCAATTTATGAATCATGGCAACGATTAGATGGTTATATGCAAGTAATAAATGAAATTCTTATTTTGATTAGTTTTTCTTTTTCTTCAATTTTCTATTAAAAGAATCAAGAAACAACTGATACAAATCCATCAACAATATCAGATGAAAATAATGATGATCTATTATTAAATGATGATAATGATGAAACTGAAGATGATAGTGAATTTCGTTCAAATCGAAGAAAATATAAACGACATGTTGGTCCACATGATAATGGTGGTATACAAAGAGTTATTTCAACTGGTATTGAAAAAAAACAAACACATAAAATATTTTCTTTCCTCTTGATTAAATTGAGTTTATTTATTTAGGTACATTAGCTCCTTCATTTGAACCAAATTCTAAATCAAGTATTGATTTAATATTTGCAACATATTGGATTCAATCAGATACATCAACATTATTAGATGCTAATGAACGTGCATGTATTGATGAAGGTATGGCAAAAGAAGAAGAACGACTTAAATCAACAAATGGTAAATAAAACAAAAAAAAGAAAATTTTATTTATTTATTTATTTGTTTTTTCTCTTTTCTATGCTTTCTTAAAGTTAATTTTTATGGTATGGATCATGATGCATATGAACATTATATTGAAGATTTATGTACAAATAAAACTCGTTTATATGAAACTGTTTTAAAAATATCTCCTGATATAATTAATCAAGTTCAAATGTCAATGTTAAATCCATTTAAAAAACAATTTGGACAATTAACTGTTTATCGTATTCGTTTACATTTTAAAAAAAGTCAATGTAAACAAAATAATTTAAAAAATTGTTCAAACATATTAGATAATAATGATCTTCTACCATTTAAACAACAAATTTGGCCAGCTTATATGGGAATAAATGGTGATTGTCATGCAAATAATTAATTTTGAATTATATTCAGTTCTTTTTTTGTATTTGTTTTGAAATTTTGTGTGATATTGTTTTAAATGTTTATCAATAAAAAATAATATAGTTCAACAAGTATAAAATACCAAAGAGTACTTTTTTTTTTTAATTTTCCTATGAATATTAGGCATATTATGAGTTCGGAATTCTGTTCTATACTTAGGCAAAGTATATAGGTCAAAAGAATAATTGTACTATATAAGATCTGATACTACAAGCTTCGTGTGCTTTTTTTTGTCTTTCTTCATTCTTTTCTTCCCTCGATTTTTTTTTCATCCTCGTCGTCCTATTGCATAAATGAGGCAGACAGTCTACGTCAGTTAGGCTAAGATATTCGTTCTTCTTACATATTTTTTTTCTTCCCTCCCCGACCGTCGAGTGTTGTTTGCGTTCTTCTCTTTGTCATTGATTCTGTTGCACAGCTAGTGTATAAATCGCCATTTTTCTCTTTTTTTCCGACTTGTAGGATGTATGCGTGTGTTGAAAAGGGTCGTGGTAATGCAAAGGCAAGAAAAAGAGAGTGAAAGCAAGCGAGAGAGAAATACGCACATAGCAGCTTTTGTTATTTTTTTTGTTTTTATTTCTATTATTTATTCGCACGCATGCACATTGGAATACATTTCGAATTAAATTTTCACTGGTTTCATGTTTGTTTTTCTTTTAGAGATATAAACATTTTCGTTTAAATCTATTGATCATAAATGGCTCACTCAGTAGGTTAATTCTATATTTAAAATAAATAAATGATTTATTTATCTTTTTCTTAAAAGTCTATATCATCACGATCAGGAGATACAGTTCATACTCTTGAATCTGAACTTCAACGTAATGGTCCATATATATTAGCTGGACTTGGTGTTAGTGGTGGTGTTCTTCTTTTGGCTAATCGAAATATTCCAGCAATGAGTATTCCAATACTATCATCAGCTGCTGATCGTATTGCTTGTATGTTTAAATTTATTTATTTATTTTTTTAAACATTTGAAATTAATTAATATCTTTAATTTTTAGATGCTCTTCGATGGACTGGTCTTGAGGTATAAATGAATATATTTATTAATTTTCATATAAATATAAATATTATTTTTTTAGGGAATTTCAATGGTTACAGCAGTTTGGTGTGTTATTGGTGTACGTTCTAAATGTAAGTTATGATTTTATTTTTATTTTAAACTTATATTTCAAGTTTTTTTTTTTTTTTTTTTTGTAGATGGAATTGAACCAACAGCAACTGAAGGCAATCATCATTTACAAATGGCACAACGAATTTTAACAAATACAACTGAATCATTTCTAACATTTACTGCTGCTAAATTAGCTTTAGCTTCTGTACTTGAATCAAATAATCTTCGTATTATTCCTGCATTATCAAGTCTTTTTATTCTTGGGTAAGATTTTATTCGACCAACAATTAAAAAAAAAAAAAAAAGAGAAATCGATAATTAATTCAATTGAATCTTTTTTTTTCTTTTGTTTTCATCTAGACGATATACATTTGATGCAGCAATCAATCATCCATCACGTTCATTTGGTTATACTATTAATGCAGTTGCTACATTTACAGCTTATGGTTTATTCTTGTACAAATTATTTAAAGGTGGTCTTCATTCTAATCTTCTTCCATTTTCACTTCGCTAAAAGCAAGATTTAATTGAAGAAGATAAGAAAAAAAAACACTAGACATGAACATTAACATTTCCTCTAACTTGTCTTGTCTCGTAGAATAATATTCCTTTTTGCACTTTGAACCATCCAAGCTATTGACTGTTTGTATGTAAAACAATCTTTTTTTTTGTCTTTTTTCTGATTGTCCAACAATAAAAAAAAATCCTGCCATTTTCATTCAAATGTTTGTATTATTAAAATATAGCATCAATCATATTCAAATTCAAGAGTAATTAAATGATGATATTAGTCATGTAGTTCATTCTTTATTAAATTTGTATAGAATGAACTAAAGAAAGTTTCGAAAATTTAGATTAAATCGATCTTGATAATGAAAAAAATAAACTATCAGTTATGATTTGGTAAAGATTCATACTGTGATTATTTTTCTGTAGCGATTAAGATCAAATTTCAAAGTATGATTGTTTGTTTTTCAAAGTATTGATTCTGAAGGTCTAGAGAACTATCGAAAAACGGTTTTTGTTTTTTAATAATGCTTATTTTTTACGAATCGTTCGAGTTCATAGAAACTAGACTTTGTAATCAGTCATTTTCTGATGATGTAAGGCACATAGGGTCAGACGTATACGAGTCATTCATTCAAAAAGAAAAATTTTCATTTGCTTTATAACATTAAATTTTCACTTATTTGAATATATTGCATCCGAATGATTTGTTAAAGAGCTCTTTTTTTTCGATATATATATATATATTCATATGTTTGTAAATGATAATCTGCACGTATCATTGAATATGTGTGTTTTTTCTCGTCGTTTTATTTAGGTTCATCTTTGAAGTGTATGCACATGTATGTAATAAAATAAATTAAAGCTTTGTATTGTATTACATGTTCTGTTGTCTATCACGCTATAATATAATCATAAAGTGACAATATTGTTTATTATTAAATTTTTTTCATCATTCATTTTACCTTATTTATCAAAAAAGATTGATTATCGATGTGGGATATTCTTCTCATCTACATTCACACTCGGTTTTTTAATTAGATTCAATTGTTCAAGTTTTACATAAGCTAATATATGTATTTTAATATTCGTTAAAAACTGCAAGAAAACATTAATTTATATGTTAATAAATAATTTTTGCTTGTAAATAGCTTAATTTTAGGTTTTCATTTATACAATAATGGTGGTTTTTTAAATTATATTATTAGTTTTTGATTAATTTAGAATAAGTATATCATTATATTTTATATGTTACTTTTTCTTATTTTTATTTTAATGCATGAAAACTACAAACAAGATACCGTGTAATGAAAAACAACTTGTTGTTGATATTCTTTCTAAAAATAAACATACAACAAAAAATACCAAAAATAACTTGACACGACTGAGAAACACTGAGAATTCGGCTAAGAACTATTCATAGTCTAACTGGTATTGATTATAAATATATTTCTTAAAAAAAAAAAAAAAAACTCAGACAATGCTAATGTGCTTTGTAAAAGAAATGTGAAAAATACAGTTGAATTATCTATTGAACTGTAAATGTAAGATGGATTCATCAATACTATAATTTCATGAAGATTCTAATTCATTAAAAAGAATCTCTCGACATAAAATCATTCGATGAATAATGTTAAACAGCCAGACAAATGATTATTTGTAGTTTAAATTGTTAATTTTGGTGTATTGTTAATATTGCTCCAGGTTAACAACACTCATACTGTTCATTTCAATCAATATTTCAAGCAGGGCTCTTATGTATGAATGAGGAGTATAATTGAACTCAATTAATGTCTTGTTTACATTTATTGTCTAGATGAACGTTGATAGATGGTAAGAATTTTTGGTTCTTATCACTTTTACAAGATGTATAAATCTTCCTTAAGGAAAAAAATCGAATTGGGACGGAATGCCCTATTTCGATGTTTAATAGAGAGAAAAGTTTTAAAAAAAATGCTTTTCAACAATGAAAATATCGATAAACAAGAGCTTAGTTCCAAATGATCGTACTACATTGGGAAAAAGGACAACGACGTATAATCTTTTTGTTTAAAATTCTCTTTTCCGAAAAATACCGCAAAATTTTTATATAAATTTTTGATATTGAAAGAAAAAGAAATCAATATTTCTATGAACAGACATTTTTCTTTAAAAGCTCTATAACTTGAACAAGGAGCAAATGAACCAAATCAAATTTTATTTGAGTACAATAATGCATATAACTATTCATGCTCTATTCAAATCACATATAACTTACAATACACTCTTGATGAATCTCCTTAATGTGTATGTATATGCTTGCTTGGATAACAAACAAAACTTGATTGGTTTAAAACAACCAATTACATTAAAAGTTCCGTTGTCAATGGCATTAAACAACTAAATGGTGATATAGAAACAGTTTCTAGTCAGCAAAAGACAAAATTAAAAGAAGTTTTTTCTCATCAACAAGGATGGAGCAACCCGTTTCTGATATTCCAAATAACACTGATGAAGATGAGGTTTCCTATTCGTTTAAAAATGAAAACAGAATTCGAAAATTCTATTTTTCTTCATTTATAGTTAGCACAAGAATCAAATCAAAACTCACAAGAACCTATAAATATTCACGAAGAATCAAGTGATTTTCAAACTACTTTAATCAATGAACAAGAGGACGAAATTTTACCACCTAAACCTAAACTACAACCAATTATTGCTCCGGATATGTTTCCTCCGTTAGTAAAAAATTTTTTGTTGCTTTTTTTTTGTTTTTGTTTAATTGAAGCTTTTCTTGTCTAGACCACTTGTTACTTGTGATAATCCAGAAGATTATCCAGAATCATATCGAAAAAATTCTAAGAAAGAAGAATTAATATTAACATTCGTTGAAAATTTTCGTCGTCAATATCATTATATTTATCGTGATCGAAAACCAATCTTTCTCAATCCATTAAATGAATGTGGTGTACCTGTAAATATACCAAAAAAAAAACATTACAAAGGGCTTTGCCGGATAAGATGACCATCCTTCATTTAAACAGTCAACTATTCTGTTTTGTCGAGTACCTCGTTATGCATCTAATGGTATATACGAAAAATTGCATTTTCACTAAGTTTTGATGTTCTGTAAAGTTATGTATCAGTTCATGAATATTCTTGCATTAGTGGGTATTACTCAGTATATATTCAAAAGAACTTATGTCCAGTATTGTCTAAAGCTAGTTCAATAGAGTTCTGTCTGATTTACTGAGTATTATTCACAATTGCTAAAATATTTATTAATTGATATATAGCTTGTGAAAATATTAAAACTTGATAAAAATGCTATTTCATATATATGTCATAATAGAAATTAAAATTCAGTAGAATTTAAAGTTCTACTAGTAGAAATTAAAATTTCAATTTCTACTATAGGAGAATTTTAAATTCTACTAAAAACTTATACTATAGAAGTATGTGAAGTTTTCCTATAATAGAAAATAAACTTAACCCTTATGATCCCTGAATTATCTGGTTTAATGCCATAAACAACTTGTAATTCGCCAATAGTATAGAGAACTGCAAAGTGGTCCCGGTCAGTTTTTTATGCTATATATTTTCACGTTTATTATTTCGACATGATTAAAGATCTGTAAATCAGATATTTTTATTTGCTATTTCTATAAAAGTCTTTACTAATTACAAGTTGTAATTTGAACTCTTTAGTTTTTTTTTATTGTACTTGACTATATTTGAGAACGAACTTTAATACTTGTTGAATATGAAAAATAAATATACAAACTCAGACTCAATCTTGTGGAAAATTATTCCGAGACTTGTTCAAAAAATACCAGTTTCAGTTCTTTCGATCTGTATTTTGACATATAATACTGATTCTTGAAGTAACACCGACTGAAAGACACTTGTATCGATTTTTCATACATCCAAGTTTAACACTGGATATAAAAGAAGTCTGGTACTATTAACGAATCAAAATCATTTATGTCAATTCAATGTATTCATAACAGTACACAGATCGTAAAAAAAAGTTGCTCGATTTTAGAAATGAAGCCATTGTCAAAGACCGGGACCGAGACTGAGAAAAAAAAATTGACCGGGACTAAAAAAAGCGATTTTTCAGATCTCTACAATAGTAACTAATTTAAAGTGTTTATGTACCCAGAATTTAAACAGCTTCATCCCAATTACCTTTTGTTACCAATATGATGTCATTATAAACAGCTTGTATGATAACAAACTTTGAACGAAATCTTTCGTCTAAAGATTCTATGTGTTTATCAAGTTTCGAATAAAATTGTTCTATTTTATGTAATATGCAAATGTTTTTTCTTTTGATACTGACGCAAGACGTTCAAATTAAATATTCAAAATCTTTTTTTTCTTTTCGTTCTCTATATTGTATCATTCGAATAAGGGTTAATTTTATTTTCTATTCTAGGATAAGTTCACATACTTCTATAGTATACGTTTTTAGTAGAATTTTAATTTCTACTACAACATATATATTACTTAATGCGCCACGAGTTGCTCTACAAAATGGAATAGATAGCTTTGTAAAACAAGGGGTGGTCATCTTTTCTGACAGGTTCTCTTCTTTTCGTCTAATTTAAAAATCATATAGAAATTTGTTTGTACAACAATTCAACCAACAATGCTTGCATTTTCTCAATTATTTCAATGGAATTTAGCAGCTGATTTTATTGCTGATCATCTTAATTATGAACTACTTGAACCAGCTCATGAACTTGTAAGTTATTAAAAAATTAAAAAAAAAAAGAAGAAAACAATCATTCATTTCAATATAAATTTCTATTCAGCCGAAAACACTTTGGTCACCAACAAAAGTTCTTGCTGATCAACGTGGTAATTGTTTTGATTATGCTAATCTTCTTTGTTCATTATTAATCGGTGCTGGATATGATGCATATGTTGTAAGTGGATATGCTACAAGAGAAATTTGTTATATGGATACAACTCGATTACCAAATCCATATGTAAAAAAGAAACATGAAGTATGTTTATTGA